GAGTGCTCAAACTGTTCTAAACTGGGTCACAGTAATGGCTGCACAATTCTACAACTTACTAAAGTCACTGAGTTCACTTACAATGGTCCAATTTTATGGTATGTATATTATACCTCAATATATTTTAAAATAAAAAGTCTGAGAAATAGGTGCATATGTTTCAGAAAGTTCAAATTGCCTATCCACTCCCAACAAATACCCTCCAAAGTCTGACAAATAATTCCCATGAATTACAGCACAGCTACTACTTTACACTGCAATTTTATTAAGGTATCTGTAACTACCATACACACACACCATAGCTAAAGGCCACAAATCAGGCTGTTCCACCCAGCTGGGTATTTGAAATGGAAAATGGAAAGGAAGCCATGTTCAAGTTGTTTCACCAGCGCACAGACTGCAGGTCATTTTAATGACAAATTATTGTCTCAGAAGAATGAAGACTGATATGGTACTTCAGCAATGTATGCCAAGCACGCCCTGGTATCGCACCTCCAGCGACATATGATGCAGTTATCTTGTTTCCATCTGGCTTGCTTTTTCTGGAAGTACACTAGTTTCCCACCTAGCAAATTACTTTAATATTTTATTTCACAAATGTACCTGTCAAAATATTTTCATATATTTTTAATCAATCAGCCCTCAAATTGTGCCTTTACAGTTCAAACACAAACTTAGGATGCTTTGAAATAGCTTTTTTTAATTAGCAAAGCAAAGACAGATGGTCTCTACTTTCGGTGACTTTATTATAGTGGAAAAGTGACATGCATTCAGAAACTGTGGTTCAGAACTTGGTATTTTTATAAACCAGCAATATGCAGCGCAGCGTCACAAGCCTTCCCAGTGCTGGGCAGTGGCACCCAGTTCCCACTCCCAGGCAGAGAAACTACCCACACTCGATGGGCAGTTATTTTCTGAAGGACTATTGTGTTTTCACATTCTTGTCATACCTAGAAAATGTCCAACTGTGCGCGAAAGATATTCAAGATCTTATTTTTACGGGCAGTTATTTTCTGAAGCACTATTGTGTTTTCACATTACCTAGAAAATGTCCAACTGTGCGCGAAAGATATTCAAGATCTTATTTTTAAAGTGTCTTTGTATTAGAAGATTCTGCCCAACTGTAAGTTAATGTAAGCATTCTGGGCATATGCAGTAGACTGGGATAAGCTACAACATTTAGTCAGTTGGAAATACCGAACTCATTTTTTTTCAGTGCTGGGGATCAAATCACAGGCCATGTGTGTGCTAAGCAAGCACTCCTACACTACACTTCATCCCCTGCCCTTAAAAGAAGTTTTGACTTAAATTTCAGCTTACAGTGAGTTTATCTGGACGTGCTCCACAAATCAAGAAGCAGCTGTATTCAAGAAGGTGCTTGGCCAAGCTATGCATGCATATCATATATAAACAAAGACAAAGACTTTCTGCCCACTATAACAAAATTCACTTAAAATATGCTTAACACCATAGAGCTAGGCAGGGGAGTTATATTTTTCACATCTTAATTCAGAAATAATGATCTTCAAGCATGGAGCTCCTCTAATTGTTTACCCTAGGTGACTAGTTCAAACAATTATTTTGCTTCCTCCTATTCTTGGTGAGAAAGCTGTTCTACCTTAGCCCTGAACAGGCTTATCTAACAAATTCCTTGCTGTACCACCAGGTGGCACAATTTTAGAACACAAGTAAGAGACTAGCTACAAAGGATAACCAGCCAGTAATGCACGCTGGATGTCTAATGGGGGGATCTCCCTATAGTAACTTTGTTTGAGTTCCCTTTACAAAAATTTTGTTGCTGTGCGGCTACCCAGCAAAGAAATTTACCCTAAAGTTGCAATTTGTAATATTTTAAAATAAGGAAAGGGCCTGGAACCCCAGCACGGGCAGCAGACACAAGTGGATCCTGGAGCCCAATACCCAGACAGTCTGGCCCAAATGGTAAGTTTCAGGCTCAATGAGAGACTGGGTGGCATAAGGTAAGAGTGATACAGAGCAGGGCAGGTGATGTCCTCCTCTGTCCTGAGTAGACAGGCACGCGCGCACACGGGTGTGCACACACATACACACACACACACACACACACACACACACACACACACACAATAAAACATTTTTAATTTAGAAAGGTCAGCAAGTTGGCTCAGAGGGTAAATAAAGGTGCTTGCTACCACACATGACAACTTGAGTTTGACCCCCAGAACCCACATGGTGGACAGAGAGAACAGATACCCACAAGTTGTCCTCTGACCCCCATGCCCATGTGTGCGGCAAGCTTGGACACACACACATGCCAGGGCACACACAAACATAAACATCTATAATGAGAAATACATGATTCTGAGGGCTTTTTAAAATAAATAAATAAAAATTAAATGATTAAATAAGGTAAGCTAAAAATAAAACAAGGCCGGGTGTGGTGGCGCACACCTTTATTCCCAGCACTTGGGAAGCAGAGGCAGGCGGATCTCTGTGAGTTCAAGGCCAGCCTGGTCTACATAAGGGAATTCCAGGCCAGCTGGGGCTACAGGGGTACCCTGTCTCATAAAGACCCAAAGAACAATGAGCTGAGGCCAGAAGTCTCTTGCTGGGTCTGAAAAAATCTGTTCTCTAGCAAAAACTGGAAATTTACATTTAATGCTTTTTAAAATATATCAGTTTTGGGTTTGGGGGGGGTTGGTCTTTTTTGAGACATGGTTTTCCTGTAGCCGCAGCTGGCCCAGATTCACTAATGGAGACCAGGCTGGCCTTGAACTCACAGAAATCCGCCTGCCTCTGCCTCCTGAGTGCTGGGATTAAAGGTGTGCTCCACCATGCCCAGCACATGTATCAGTTTTTTAAAGACAAGATTTCCAATAGACCTTGAACTTCTCATCCTCCTGTTTCCCTGTTCAAACCTGCCACCACACCCGATGGACCCTAGGGCTTTGCTTAGGCAAGCACTCAACTGAGCTACACCCTCAGTCCTTTAAAATGTATTTTTTAAAAGCAGCAGCAAAGGTACTTGGCACCAAGTCTGCTCGCCTGTTCAGTTCCTAGGACCAACACGGCGGAAGAGAACCCACTCCTGCAAGTTGTCCTGACTTCTACACATGCATCATGGCACTCACATTCCGATACACACGCACAGACACACGTACATAAAAACAAATATAATAAAAACAATGTTTTAAGGCTACATGTCAGAAAGCTCTGGGATTAATTTGGTATTTTCCATACCTTTAATCATATCCCAACAGAAGTAGGAGACATGGCAGGGGATGGCCCACCTTCCCTACCCACTTAACGCAGTAGCTGTAAGAGGGAATCCAAGCTATCAGGCCTAGGAAAGACCATGTCACACTGCCCACTACTTCGAGTTCCACCAAACAGCTTCTCAAGAAACAGGCCTCCCTTGCAGCACTTGGAATTACTGATCAGCACCTGTAAAGCAGGAGGGTAAGCACCCTGCACATCACAGGAATTTCAGAGAAAAAAAACAATGTACACATAGAGAGTATTCTAGTCAGCGATGTAGTAAGTGCCCATTAAATGCTTGCTGAATGCTGAAATTAAATGCAATACAGAAGGAAAGTTTGGAAAAGAAGTTCACTTTCAATCAACTAAAAGAAGTGAAAAGTGGGGCTGGAGAGATGGCTCAGAGGTTAAGAGCTCTTTGCAGAGGACCTAGGTTCAGTTCCCAGGACCCACAGGACAAGTAACAACCATCTGTAACTCCAGTTTCAGAGGATTCAACGCCCTCTTCTGACCTACATCTTCAGATACTGCATGACACAGGTGTACTTACAAACATGCAGGCAATACACTAAAACAATTTTAGAAATACTATTAATTAAATGCAAAATCCTGAAGATAATGAGCCACAGAAGGGTGTCACAACAGAATCCCTTTAACACTGCAATGTTGTATACATTTAAAGTGTTTTTGTTTTGAGACAGGGTGTCATGTAATCCAGGCTGGCCTCAAACTCCAAGTTTGTAGGGGAGGATGCCCTTGAACACCTGCTCTTCCTATCAACCTCCCAAGCACTGGGTTTTGGGCGCAGGCCACCAGGTCCCACCTGTAGTTGTTGTTTGCGTAAAAAACAAATTTTTTTGGTCTTTAGCTCCAGCTGTCCTGAAACTCACTATCTGGACCAGGCTGGCCCTTGAACTCACAGCGATCCGCCTGTCTCTGCCTCCGGAGTGATGGGATTAAAGGCGAGCGCCATCACGCCGGGCTGTTTGTGTAAAGTTTTAGTAAAAAAAAAGTTTGCACGAGGCTGGCGAGATGGCTCAGAGGTTAAGAGCACTCCTCTGCCTCCCGAGTGATGGGATTAAAGGCGAGCGCCATTACGCCGGGCTGTTTGTGTAAAGTTTTAGTAAAAAAAAAAGTTTGCACGAGGCTGGCGAGATGGCTCAGAGGTTAAGAGCACTGGCTGCTTTTGCAGAGGACACAGGTTCAATTTCCAGCACCCACATGGCAGCTAACGACCATGTGTAACTCCAGTTCCAGGAGATTCAACAGCCTCTTCTGACCTCCGCAGAAATTGTATGACTCGGGTGCACTTACATACATGCAAGCTATACACATAAAAAAGTAAAACACAATAAGATTTTTTTGTCATTTTTAGACAGGGTCTCTTTGTAGCCCCAGCTGGCCTGGAACTCCCTACCGTAGACCAGGCTGGCCTCAAACTCACAGAGATCCACCTGCTTCGCTTCCCAAGTGCTGGGATTAAAGGCCTGTGCCACCATGCCCGGCAAAAAATAATAAAATATATATTTTTTAATGTTTCCAATAGTTCAACTCTACAGAAACCACAAGCACGGTCCTCAAAGACTATGAAGGAGATCTGGACGTTCACTTCCTTTGCCAAGTGTAGCATGGGGTCCCACATCACAAGCCAGGATGGTGACTTTTAGTCACTAATTCGTGCACTTCAAATGCATTCTAACAGTCTCCTCTTTCAACCAGCAAATTCCTAGACAAATAACAATAGTTTACTAAGTACCAAATACCTTGATGGGTTCCAGGCTCCAGAGCAAAGCCAGGAAGCATGGGTAGAGCTGCACGGTGACACCCCTGCTCAGCACCCGCGAGTGCCCAGCGGAGTCCAAGGCGGAGGCCCCTGAGTGCTGGGCAGAGCTGCACGGTGACACCCCAGCTCAGCACCCGCGAGTGCCCAGCGGAGTCCAAGGCGGAGGCCCCTGAGTGCTGGGCAGAGCTGCACGGTGACACCCCAGCTCAGCACCCGCGAGTCCCCAGCGAAGTCCAAGGCAGAGGCCCCGCGCTGAGCCGCGTCTCAGTTCGTCTGGCCCGAACTGAGCCGCGTCTTCCCGCTTCAACTTCCCCGAGACCCCGAGGGAGAGACCGCTCCTCCGGACCGCCCGGGCTCCCGGAACTCACTCACCGCCACTCGGCGCCCGGAAGTGCTGACAGCAAAGTCGCCGACGGGACGCGGAGACAGGTCACCCGCGGCCCGAGCGTGGCCCAGCAGCTGCAGAGAACTCCCACGCCCTCCACCGCGACCCCGCGAGGCCCCGCCCTCCGCCTCTCTCGTACACGCACCACCCCGCCTGGACCGGCCCACTCGCCAAGCTGAGGGGTAAAGAGTCTGTCCTCGGCCCAACGGGGTTCGCGTCCCTTCCGATGCGTCAACGGGCCCCCGGCGCTCAGAGAACAGTGCGGAGGCCGAGCCAGGTGGGCTGGACTTGAGGAGACGGCAGCTGACCTTAGAGACCTAGATGGGTAGGCGGGGCTTTGCGGCGGTGAGAGTGGCCATTGGAGACCTTGAAGGGCGGAGCTTGCGGTGGTGAAAGCGGCCATTGGAGCCTTTGAAGGTGGGCGGGGCTTGCGGCGGCGGGAGCGGCCATTGGAGGCTTTGAAGGCACCTCGGCGGGAACAGCTACGGAGGACCCGGCCGGCAATGTGGGCCGGTAAGACCGGCTTTAGCGGCGTGGGTTCGAGCTTTGAGGGTGGTGGGAGAGCTGAGGAAGCCGGAACCCATCCCTCTACGGCGGCTAGGTGGCTGCTGCCGCGCGTCTCGCAGCGCAGGTCTCGGCCTGTGATTGAGGGGCTGGGGTGGAGGCTGGGGTGGAAGAGGGCAACGACGCGCGCTAGTGACGTCATATCCGCCCGTGCTGGGGCGGGGCTTGGCGTGCGGCTCTGCTGCGGAGCCTTGCCTCCTGGAGCCTTGGGTTTCTGCTTTGCGCGGAGTTAGGAGCTTGTGTTGATGGTTGGCTCCCATGGCTTGCGTCTTCTTGGTTTATGCATTTTGTTGTTTACCCTCTGTGCTCCCTGTTGCATCCACGTGTGGAACGGGCACGTTACATAGAAGGGATCTCCTGTCATCTGTGTTCGTGGCATGTGCCATGTCAAGGTGCTAGGAAATAGAAGGAAATTTTAAAAGATCGCCGCAGGGAAAAGCTTATTCGAGGGCTTGCTAACTGTTGAAATGACGCCCGTCCTGCGGTTTCTTTAGAATGGCGTTCTGCAAGCTACCCAGAGTTGAGTCTAGAGGGGGCTGGACAGATAGTTCAGCGGTTAGGAGCACGCACTGCTCTTGTAGAGGACCCAGGTTCGAATCCCAGCAGCCGCATGACAGCTAACAGCCGTCTGTAATTCCAGTTCCAGGGGATCCGACGCCTCCTAACCTCCGAGGGCACTACACGACACGGGTGCACTAACCTACATGCAGGCAGTACGTTGATACACATGAAATCAAATTAAATAAAAAGAGTCTTCCAGAGTGTTAAGAAATGCTAAATCTCATCTGTGGCCATACTGCGCTGCACTGGTCACGTCCAGTCCCGGAAGCTTGTCAGGGTTCCGCCTGGTTAGTACTGGCATGGGAGGAATGCTAAATCTCAAAGCGGCTTTACATGCACCTTCCCCCTCCCCCAGTTTTGAAAGTCCTTCCAAGTGTTCCTCACGGAGGACAAGTGTTTTGCTAGTTCACTGAGTCCTAATCCTTCCTGGGTTATTTTCTTATACATACTGCCCAGAGAGAGTATCCAGCCATTCACCTACAAATATTTGTCAAGCACATATGAAATGGTTCTTGCACTGAGTAGACTGACACAGTTATGGAGCTGTTCGAACCTGAGTCTCTGCAGCCCTAAGGAGCTAGGCTCTGTCACCATTCTCAATAGGCCACTTAAACAGACCAGTAATCGTGAAAAGCAGAGAAAGATTTTTTTCAGTGTAGCCACATTGGGGAGAGGAACAAGGACCTGTGGCCCCCAAGTTTGTCTTCGGTGTCCAGACTAGAGGCAAAGGTATGCATAATCGAGCAGTCCTGGTCAAGGTGTGGTCCCACCATCACTGACCCAGCTGGGTCCTGGTTTCAGTCTCTCCTGCATGGGCATCTGACAAGTTGTCAGACAAGCTCCTCCTCTGGCCAGCACCAGGTGTTGGCCTTTTCCTTCTCCTAGCAGGTCCCTGAGGAATTCCCTGAGGTCCATTGTCTCAAGGAGGGGCATAAGCTTCTCTCTAGAACATCTCAGGCCCTGCCTGGATAGTCACGACACTGCTATAGATTGTAGAGGTGTAGCTAGACACACCTTATCCCTGCCCTGAGCACAACAGTGTAAGTGGTTCTGAAGAGAGAAGCCATGGAAGGTTTCAAGATACCCTGATCGGCTGGTCAGGATAAGTTTCTCTAAGGAGAAACCAGCTAAGCTGAGAACTGAATTACAACAAGAACTCACTGAAGACCGTTCTAGGCAAGGATAACCACAAGCATGATGGTCCAACTCCAGAGGGATCATTTTATCTGAGAGGAATTAAGACAGTGTGTAGCTGGAGCTCAGAAAACCTGTGAGGTGGGGCTGGGGATGTAGTTCAGTAGTAGAGTACTTGCCTAGCTTGAGGAAGGCCCTGGGTTCCATCTTTAACAGCACACGTACACACGAACACATGCATACACACAGGCACAGGAAGAATGGAAGGGAGAGAAGCAGGGCCAGATAATACAGGGTCTTTTTATTTTTTGAAACAGAGTCTCACTATGTAGCTCTCCCTGGCTGGCCTCCATCTCACAGAGATCCCCCTGCCTCTGCCTCCCCAGTGCTAGAATCAAAGGTGTGTACCACACTGGGCTAATTCAGGGTCACAGGGTCTTCTAGACCATGGTGAAGATTTTAGTTTTGACTTTTAAGGAAGAATGGTTCCCATCTGAGGATTTTCATGATCCTGATTCTGTCCCTATAGTCTAATTCATTAAGACCTAAGCTACTTTTTTCTCCTAAACCATCTTTATCTTTGCTATGATTTTCAGTGCCTTTTTAAAATACAGTCAGCTGGAGCTGGGGAAATGTAGCTCAGTTGGTAGAGTACTTGCCTACCATGGAAGAAGCCCTGGGTTTCATACCTCAAACCACAAAAAAACAGGTATAGTGGCCCACACTTGTAATCCCACCACCTGGGCCGTAGAGGCAGGAAGATCAGAAGTTTGAAGCCAGCCCAAGATACATTGAGACTCTGTCTCAAAAAATAAAAATAAGGGGCTAGAGATGACTCAGCTGATAAGAGCACTCTCTTGCAGAAGACTCAAGTTCAGTTCCCAGTACCTATATCTGGCAGTTCACAACCACCTGTAACTCCAGCTCCAGGGAATCTGACACCTTCTTCTGGCTTTCAGAGGCACCCCACACACGGTATATACATCCCCCCACACACACACACACATAAATAAATACAGTCAACTCATGTTTTGGGAAGTAAGTGGTAGCAGTAACTTATATCCAGTGTTCAAGACGCCGTTAAGATGTTAGATGTAAATCACAGGCAGGATCCTTGTAGGGGAATCGTCTGTTATCCTTGGTGATCACAGAGCAGTGAGGGAAGAGGGTGAGAATGACAGACCTGCCTTTTGTCTTAAATGTGGACACTAAGGTCTGGGTGCTCCTTCCTAGGAGACAAGCTGTTCCCGTCTACAGATCCTTTACTTAGTCTTTACGTAAAAATCATGCTTGTTTGCATTTTAGATTCTACTCAGTGTCCCCAGCTGAGGTGCCAGAGTAGGGTGACCTTCTGCTCTGAAGAAAGGTCGTAAAGGCTCAGCGTCTCCCTCTACACCAGAGCTTTGCTAGGTCCCACTCCTAAGAGTCTTTGCCCTCACCTATTGCTGAGGAAGCTGTCCCATGTTTGGGGCTCAAGACTTGGTGGGCACTTGAAGAATCTCACCTGCAGACATCAGCAGTTTGTTCATTGATAATGCACTGCTAGAGCTGTCCACACTTCATTGTAGTTCCACATTCTGCAGTTTCTCTTGCCCTAAGTCAGCCACTGACTAAATATTACATGGAAAATTCCAGAAAGAAACAATTCTTAAGTTTAAATAACTTTGTTAGCTGCATCACAGTATGGCAGAGGGCTTCATGGCAGTACCCTGTGTGATGGCAAACATGGGCAGAAGCGTGATCAGATGGCTAGAGGGAGCCAGAGAGCTAGTGGGGAAGCTGCCCCACTTTATACCACCTTTCTATTTGGGAGACAGGCACTACATAGCCCTAGGTGAGCCTGCTGTCCTTGTCTTCTGAGTGCTAAGTTTACAGGCCTCTATCACTATGCCTGGCTTAAAACTCATTCTCTGTGTGTACATGTGTGTGTGTATGTGTATGTATGTGTGAGTGTGTGTGTCAGGTGTAGACAGAAGCCAGAGGTAGACATACAGTGTCTTCCTCAGTCACTCTCACTGAACCTATGGCTCGCCGTTTCAGCTAGCCTGGCTGACCCGCACCCACATGGCAGCTAACAACTGTCCATAACTCCAGTTCCAGAGGCTCTGATGCCCTCTTCTGACTTCTGTGGGCATTGCACGACACAGGTGCACTTACATGCAGGCAATACGTATTATTCATACACAAAATAAAAAATAAAAATTTTTTTTAGAAATCCTTTAGGGACCTAATCTGGTCCCATTGGAGCTGACCTACCTACTCCCTTGAGAGTTCATTAATCCATTCTGAGGGTGGTGCCCAGAGACCTAATTGCCTTCCACCAAGCCTCCACCTCTTAAAGCTCTACCACCTCTTCATGCCATTAAATTAGGGACCAAACTTCACCCCAAGGGCACCTGAAGGACAAACCCTCCAGCCCTATCCTAATTATAGCAGCACTAATTTTCTCAAAAACTTTTAAAACATGCTGGATATACTGACTCAGACTTGTGATCCCAGCATTTAAGAGGCTGAGGCAGGAGGATTGCCACCAGTTTTAGTTGCGACTGGGCTGCATAGTGAATTCCATGCCAGGCTGGGCTACAGAGTGAGAGAGCTGGTGATAGAGTGGTTGTCTAGCAGTCACAAAGCCCAAGGTTCAATCCTGTCACCAAATAAAACCTATGCCTAGAGACGCATGCCTAGAATTCCAACACTTGGGAAACAGAGGCAGGAGGATCAAAAGTTCAAGGTTGGGGCTGGAGAGAAGTACAGGCAGGCAGCCTGTACTGCCCTTGCAGAGAACCTGAATTCAGTTCCCAGCACCCACATAGCAGCTAACAACCATTGTAACTCCAGTTCCAGGGGATCCAACACTCTCTTCTGACCTCTGCAAGCTTTGCATAACACAGGTGCACTTATACACATGCAGGCAATACATTCATACATAAAATAATAAAATTTTAAAAAAATTTTTTAAAAAAGAGAAAGAAAGAAAAGATTAAGAAAAGAAAGTGGGGGGATCATAGGTTGTGGTCATGCTCAGCTACATTACAAATCTCAGCTACATTACAAACCCAGTCATACCACTCCTTGGCATATACCCAAAGAATTCATCCTATTGCAGAGACACTTGTACATCCATTTTT